TTCAAGCTCTTAGGAAGATTACCTCGGTAAAAGAAATTGTGAATTGCAGTCTCCACATCACGGCCAACAATGTCCCAAGCCGCTTTGAAAAACTTTGAAGAAAACCCATCAGACCCAGGAGCTTTATAATTACCAATGCTAAACATAGCATTTTTAATTTCTTCATTTTGAATTGGTCTGATCATATGGTTAGCTTCCGCCAAAGAAAGTTTACGYATGAAAACATCATTAGTGATAGTCTGTTCAGAAGAAACATACCTCGAGCCTAGAAAGTCTTTAAAATGATCCACAAAAACATTAGGCACATCATCACCATAGACATAAGCTCCATCACTTGTACACACAGACTGAATAGAATTGTAATGATGCCGCTCTTTAATCACCTTATGGAAGAATTTTGTATTCAAATCACCTTCATTCAACCAAGCAATTTTGGCACGCTGATTCGCGGCACAATTCTCATCCCAACAGGCATTTTGATACGCTACCCGAATATGACCCAACTCTTGGCCTAGCTCAACATTAGACRGATCATTATCAACATCCATCTGGATACGATCAAGTTCAGTCTTCAAAAAGGCAACACGCTTACCAAGCAGTACTTAAATTGTAAACCTATTATGGTTGCCGGTACTAGAAATACCGACATCCAATAGGTTTGCATAGAATGAAGAACAGAGAGTATAAGTTGTCGTCTTCCTCCATAGGAAAGGAATTTGTTCTTCCAGGTCAAAAGTCGAGATTTAAGTTTTAGCACAAGGGGATTAAAATCACGTACCTTCAAACGAACTGGAGATAGAGGAACTCCCAGATAACGAATAGGATATACCCCCGGCCGAAAAGATAAGCTATTACGAATAAGAGTTTGAACCTCCATCGCCACATTCCCGAAAAACACCTCACTTTTTCCAGACTTGGAGACAAACCCGATCGTTCTTCAAACAAATGAAGGCCACGCTTGATGACTTCCACTGAAATAATATCCCCCCTAGAAAAAATAAACAAATCGTCTGCAAAGCATAAATGGGTCAGCTTGATATCMGCACATCCWTGATGATACGCAAAATTTGCCTCCTCCTCAATACACTTTGAAAGAAGCATCGAAAGACCTTCCATAACCACAGTAAACAAGTAAGGAGATAAAGGATCTCCTTGTCGAAGGCCCCGCTTACCATGAAAAAAACCCTCCGGCTGTCCATTAACACATATAGAGTAAGAAGGCGAAGAGATTAGAGTCTTTATCCAGTTAATCATAATTGGATGAAAGCTGTAACAACTCTGCACTTTTGGATTTCCAGGTTAGAACCTTATTTCGGAATCTTCATTAGAAAACTAAGTCTTTTAGGATTAACCTTAGCCAGATTATGATCTTGAAGAGGTCGCCTATTCGATCAGAGGCTCTGGTGTCTGTCACAGAGGCTTTGATGATAGCCACAGAGGCTCTGGTGGCAGACACAGAGGTTCTGGTACTATCTACAGAGGCTCTGTTGCCTCTTCTCAGAGACTCTGTGTCTTTTCACAGAGACTCCGACAACTCTTGTCAGAGACTCTGTGCCTTTTCACAAAGACTCTGGTAACTCTTCTCAGAGACTCTGTGTCTTTTCACAGAGACTCCGGCAACTCTTCTCAGAGACTCTGTGTCTTTTCACAGAGACTCTGGCAACTCTTCACAGAGACTGTGTCTCTTTTCAGAGGCTCTGGCATCTCTTTGCAGAAGCTCTATGTCTCTTCACATAAGCTCTGGCATCTTTTCTTCGCAGAGGCTCTGTTGCCTTCTTTCTGAGGTGCTGGTTGCCCATACTTGATGATCAGTACGGCAGTTGGTCTTGTTCCAGACTTGGACATTTTGGTTATTTTAGATTTTTGGGTCTTAACTTAAGGAATTGTTTAAGTCCTTGGGCTTGGGCCTTTAGAGGCCAGCCCACTACTCTTCTAAAAAGCCTCATATAAATACCCCCCATCTCTTTTAAAAACTCTTCATTATTCAAAAACTCTAGCCTTTTCTCGTTCTCCCTCTCTAAAAAGTTCATCACCTTCAAGCCGAACTCTTCTCCCTACAAGTTTAGGATCGCTGCTGTGTTCGAATCGTTCTTTTCTGCCTC